TTAGCCGTGAGACTCGGCCTCAGCAAAAGTCGTCGCTGTAGGTTGTTTTCTCGCCTCCTGAAGTCGGAACCCGTTTCTCTCGCCGGACCCGTATTAGTCGCAACTCCGTTTATTGTAGCCGGTAGAACCCCCGAAAATCGCGGGTCTATACGCTGCGCCGAATCGTTGTTCCGTGGTGTACTGGGCTGTCTGCAAACACAGGTACCTCTGGCCGGAGGGAACTGTGCCGCGTGAAGTGCAGAATCGGCTGCCACTGTTGCTCCGAAATTTTCGCCGATGAACATTGTGCCAGAAACAGTAGTCACCCAAGCCGGAACAGTCTGGTCGTAGGCGGCCTTTTCCGAACTTTTCGGTGGTTTGAAGAACAACTTCCGTCCCACACTGTGCCGCTCTGCCGAAAAACGCCCACGACGCACCCCAACCGGGTGGGACGACGGTAGACCCCCGCTTTCTTCGGGCAGTCGTCACGCCGCCTCTCCTCGTCGTCGGTTTTTCTGACGCAAATCACACATTGCGCCTGGCTGCTCGACCACAGTCGTTTCCACATGCTGCTACTCCGAAATCTTCGCGCACAGTGACGACGCGCCACTTGCCGAAGACTTCCACGGACTCATGCGCAACGTGACGAAGACGTCCCAACGCCACTTGCTGCATGCAGTCGTTCCGAAACTCTCGTGCGCAGTTGACGACCACGTGCCGATGCCAACTCGCACCACGGACGCTTCCGACAATCTCGGACGTGCAGTGACGGCGATTTCGTCGACGTCAGCTGCCACACAGCATTAACTCCGAAATTGACGAGAACGAACACAGTTAACTCACGCATTAAATGCGACGACAACCAAAGCTGTCCGCCACCCGGGGGGAGGGAGGCCACGGTCCATCTCGACCGTCGAGGGCAAGGATCCGTCGGTGCCGCAGGAGCGCCTTGAAATTCATGGCCGCTAGGAGCAACTACCCGTTCTCCTGGCCGGCTCTTGCGCTGCTCCTGTCACCACGGCATCCTTCCCTGTCCCCCCCCCGAGGGGTAATACACTCTAAAAAAACGGGAAATCTAGGAAAGTAGCTCTGATACCAAATGTTATGAGTTTTACTAGACAGAGTGCGCGGAAGTCTTCTATAAAGAGAATGAATTACAGAATAACTGAATAGACTAAAGGAACATGCATTTATAGGGTCGAAACCGGGCTAGGCGAGGACCTCGGGACGTGGGTGGTATGGAAGTGTCGCGATTGGTGCGGGGCGACTCGGGAAAGTGGTTCGGTCCGAAATGTAGGCCGAACCCAAACTGACGCGAAGTTCGGGCTGTCCTCGCTAGGAGCAGCCTCTACAGTAATGAATGTATATTCATTACAGATATGCACAAGGAGTAACACAAATTCACTCATCAAGGCTTTATTAAGTTTTGATAGGAACCTATTCGGGTCAAGTTGAACAAGACAGCTCGTAACAGTCCATTGATTTTTATTAATGTTATCTTTAGTAACAATCATAGTACTAATTATCTCTACAAAATATATTAGTCCCAGACGCATGTATCTCTAAAAGTGTCGCATTAAAATTATTATGCAAACGAATTAAATATATATACCTGTCCGTACCAGCGCCAAGGCACTACCGAGAATATACCTGCTGGTCGGTTCGGCATGAGTCCCCAAAGAGTCATGCTGAGCGCCAGTTTGCGCAGGCCGCTGACAAGTGTAATTTGCGGCTGCAAGCGCGATGAGTCGGGCGGGCGGTTGCAAAAGGCACTTGCGACACGGGGGATAGGCACCATAGCATGATGATGAGGGTTGATGATGCATCAATTTTCAGGCGCGAGAAAATCGTTTTGGATAGTACGGCATCGTAATCAACCGCCTTCATTGAACAAAAGATGATGGGCATGGCATGGCACACATCAGATAAGGAAATTTTGAAATCGGCACAGCGCAAGCTCACTGGCACAGGCGGGGAATCCAAAGCCTTCCCCTGCCTGACACCTTTGCCCACCTGATGGTGAATGTGTCGGTCGAGCTATCTCGCACCCTCAACCACACGTCATGCTTGCGTAGGAGGATCCTCGTCGAGGACCACAATGATAAAACTGTCCGTCAGATGCGTCAAGGAGAATCGGATGACCACCACGTGTAACAGTCACATCCACCAGGCGGGCTGCTGTCAGAATCACATAGGAACATCGCGAAAGAAACTCAAAACATTTGAAATATTCTTTTACCATGAAAGTTGCTGAATAGGGGTAAAGGTACGGGAATGTTTAGGTTGGAGGGATCAAACCATTCTCATCAAGTCTGTCGTAAATACAGCAGAAACGAATTTGGGGAGCTCTCGCGTAAACAACTCAAACCGCGGTGCGCCCACAAAACCCGCTGTAGCTACCTTGGGATTCTACCCGGAACAAATAAACAGCTCGCAGAAGTTCGAGAGAGCCTCTAAAGTTACGTGACTGATTTTCGTTTCCAATGAAACTGATGCTGATTGGGCCTGGCGCACAGTTGCGTTCGGGAGAGCCAAGCTGGTTCGGTTTGCGCAGACCCTGTCAGCGCAGGCGCCAAGCAGGGAACCTGCGCGTTGCGGAAACCTTTCCCGCGCTGCGCGTGTCTGAAAGCCGCCAGAGATTCCCTTTATGTGGTGAGAATTTGTAACGTCGCAAGCGTGTTCGCTACACTAATCTGACCACTTACACGTAATGACGAAACCAAAATCTGTTTCGCCTGCCGTATATTGCTCCCTGAACAAACGGCAAGGTTCGCTACCGATGAGGGTGGCGGGCGGAGGGCGAGAAGCGGAAGGGAGTTTTGGGACAAGTGTCCGTCTGTGTGAAGCGCTCCTCTGGTGCGGCGAGCTCCACCCATTCCCAAGGGCCAACTTCTCTCACCCTTCCATCCACCTCTCCCGCATTCATCCTTCCATGTTTCTAACCTCAAAGCCGCCATGGCAGTCATGAAGATACAGTCGCTATGGTTCCCGTCGACATCCTTAACTCGCCATGGATTCCGTGAATTTATTTACTTACCTTAAATTAGCTCGTTTCAGAAGCGGAAATCGATCGGGTTTAGTATCAGATCAGTCGCGGATACTGAGAGTGTTATCACGGTTGTTTAGGTCGGCACCCTCTGGAGTTCCCTTCAATATATCTTTGGTGTCTCATACATCAAGTTTAGGATGAAAGAGCGTCTTCTTAATACGGATATTTCGTCTCCGCTTAGCCGACGGATCATCACCTTCTTGTGACGCTCGTCCGCTTTTGCTGGAAGCTCCGCTCGTCCGCTTTTGCTGGAAGCTCCGCTCGTCCGCTTTTGTTCAAACGTCTAGGAAGCGTTCCAACTCTCTCTGTCGAGCAGATATTATCAGAGATAGCAAAACGGACGGTTTGTCAACGGATTTGACGATGCTTGACGGTCGGAAAGGTTTCTGCAAGCTCGAAGTAGTAAGACTACGGTTTCATTCCCACCTTTGAGTCGCCGGAGAAAACGTTTCAGTGTTTCTGCTCAGATCTTACTTTTACCTGGGAGCTCCTAGTAGCTGTTGAAGCGGTCTTGGGAGGATAGGAGTGTGCTAGCAACACACAGACAACGGCGTTTTCGTTTCATCCTCCTCAACAACAGCGTTTCATGTCAACTAGAACGGCTAGTACTAGTTGCGACAGCCTGTCGCGGAGCGACAAGCGGCGACAGTCGAGCTTCGAGCTGCGAGCGGAAGGCGACACGAAAACGACGAACGGACCGGAGATGAAAGAAAAACGGAGCGCAGCGGGGGAAACGGCGAGCACTGATCGGAAAAGCGACGAGCAGCAACGTTGAAAGCGGGGAACGGAAAGCGGGAGCTGAATGCGCTGAGCTAACGGCGAGAAGCGAACGGGATTACCGAAAATCGAGCATTGAGCGGAAGGCGACTCTGTGCGACGACGGATTACCGAAAATCGAGCATCTAGCATCTAGGAACGACGAGCGACGCCGGGGGATGAGCGGTGACTGTTGACGAACGCGGCCATTGCTGAACGCTGAGCGACGAACGGCGACGCCGGGGAAGAACGGGGACTGTCGAACGCTGAACGACGACACGCGAACGCTGAACGGCGACTAATGACTGCTGAAGCGCCGTGTAACGCGAGGCGACGAGGCGAGCAACGCTGCCGGTTGACGGTGACGGCTAACGGCGAGCGGAATCGGCGAGTGGGAAGGCAAAACAAGCGGAATCGGCGAGACGCAAGGAACGGAATCGGCGAGACGCGACGAGCGGAATCGGCGAGACGCGACGAGCGGAATCGGCGAGTGCGACCAGCGGAATCGGCGAGACGCGACGGGCGGAATCGGCGCGACGCGACGAACGGATTTGGCACGACGCGACCAGCGGAATCGGCGAGACGCGACGGGCGGAATCGGCGCGACGCGACGGGCGGAATCGGCGCGACGCGACGGGCGGAATCGGCGCAACTCGACGAGCGGAATCGGCGCGGCGCGACGAGCGGAATCGTCGCGACGCGACGAGCGGAATCGGCGAGACGCAACGAGCGGAATCGGCGAGATGCGACGAGCGGAATCGGCGCGACGCGACGAGCTGAATCGGCGCGACTCGACGAACGGAACGTTCCGTTCAGGGTTTAGGGTACCGGCGAGACGCGACGAGCTGAATCAGGCGATGACGGACACGCGACGACGGGACAGGCGATGACGGACACGCGACGACGGAAAGGCGATGACGGACACGCGATGACGGACACGCGAAGCTCTTGAAGTTGCGAATGTTTCACCATGGTAAGTTGATACAATGTTTCAGCAATGAAATCCCGAGAGATGTTCCTTTGATTCCTTTCATCTGTTAACGTTTGGATGTTCAGGCACTAAAGCTGTCCGGTTTGACTTGTGCAGGTCTAAGGCCTGCTGCTGCACTTCGCTGGTCTCCTGCTGAGCTTGATGAGGACCTCGCGAAACGACTGCTGCTCCTGCTGAGCTTGCTGCGTGCGACCGTGTGCGGAACGGCGACTTGCTGTGTGCTACCTAGTGCGGAACGGCGAATAGTTGCGTGCGATGGTGTGCTGCTGATGAACGAACGGCGAGGAGGCGCAGGACGCTGCTGGCGAGGAGGCGCAGCTGATGAACGAACGGCGTCCATAAGAAGCTCGTGAATTTCCTATCCTGCTGCTCCTGCTGCACCTGAGGCTCACGAAACGACTGCTGCACCTGCTGCACCTGAGGCTCACGAAACGACTGCTGCACCTGCTGCACCTGAGGCTGAGCAAACGACTCCTGCACCTGCTGCACCTGAGGCTGAGCAAACGACTCCTGCACCTGCTGCACCTGAGGCTGAGCAAACGACTCCTGCACCTGCTGCACCTGAGGCTGAGCAAACGACTCCTGCACCTGCTGCACCTGAGGCTGAGCAAACGATTGCTGCACTGCTGCACTACTGAGGCGAGGAGGAATGGCGCCACTGCTGCCGCACCGAGGAACTTGTGAGTTGCCTTCCCTATCAGCACCTTCAATATTGGGAAACCGAGACATTTTTCTATTTTGTTGCCTTTGTAAAAACTCAATTATCTGATCGCTGATGCTGTGTGGTTTGAATTGTGCAGGCCTGCTGCTGCACGGCGAGGCAACGCTGCTGGCAAGGAGGCGACGCTGCGCTTTGCCGCCAGGAGGCGAGCGGCAGGCAGCACTGCTGCTGCCCTGCTGACCACTGCTCGCCTCTCAGGGAGCGCGGCGCACTCAAGGGAGCTGGCGGGCGGCAAACTGCGGTAGCGGCGAGGCGGACACAGGCGGACGGAGCGACGGCTGAGGCGAGGAGGAAACGGCGCCGCTGCCTTGACCCCTGCCTGCTTGATAAGTCTAAGATATCTCGTTTTCACGCACTTGTTTCCACTCACTCATTCACACTTGCTCGCCCCCGCCGCCACTGCCGCGTCCTCCTCCTCGCGCCACTCGTTCCTCCTCCTCCAGCTCGCAGCGGCGGCACCATTGGACCATTCCCCAGGTGTGTTCAGGTACCGGCGGCATCATGCGTAAGTAGGTATGTTCAGGTACGGTACGGTCCTTTGGTGCCCGCCCTGCAGCTGCCACCCACCAGCCCGCCTCCGCTGCCGCTGCCGCTGCCGCTGCCGCTGCCGCTGCCGCTGCTGCTGCCGCTGCCGCTGCCGCTGCCGCTGCCGCTGCCGCTGCCGCTGCCGCTGCCACTGCCGCTGACGCTGCTGCTGCTGCCGCTTCCTCTCCCGCTGCTGCTGCCACTGGCACTGTCACTCACTCACACCACCTTCACGTGATGCATGCTTTCCAGTTTTTTCGTCTTTCGTTTTCCTTTGCCTGCATGCTTGTCATTTTTCCATATCTCCTACTAATCATTTGCCCGCCCTCTCCTCCAGCCCACATCCTCTGCTTGCACGCCTACAGGCCGGCACACACCATACGTCAGGTCTACAGGTCAGCAGGTCAGCAGCGTCGGGCGAGGCAGCGAGGGGGAGGCAGCGAGGGGGAGGCAGTGAGGGGGAGGCAGCGAGGGGGAGGCAGCGAGGGGGAGGCAGCAAGGGGGAGGCAGTGAGGGGGAGGCAGCGAGGGGGAGGCAGCGAGGGGGAGGCAGTGAGGGGGAGGCAGTGAGGGGGAGGCAGCGAGGGGGAGCCAGCGAGGGGGAGGCAGTGAGGGGGAGGCAGCGAGGGGGAGGCAGCGAGGGGGAGGCAGTGAGGGGGAGGCAGCGAGGGGGAGGCACTGCAGCCACGTACTGCTTTCTGACCCTACATTGCTTTCGGTTCCCGCCCACCGCTCTCCACTTTCCATGCCTTTGCTCGCCCTTCGCATCGCACTTGCCTCGTTTCTTCAGCGTTTCTCCACACTCACTCCTCCTTTCTTTCTCGTGCGCCTTTCCCCGCTGTTTCCAGACATCACGGCAGGGAGCAAGGGCCAGCGTTGTCTCCGCTGCTCGCCTCTCAGGGAGCATGGTGCAAAGACAGCAGAGGGCAGCAGTGGGACGTCGCACGGCTCGCCTCTCAGGGAGCACGGTGCAAGACATTTCGGCAAGGAGCAAGGAGCGAGTGCTGCCTCACCTGTTGCTGGCAGCACTGACGTGCCGAGTGGCTCACCTGCTGCTAAGGCAAGGAGCAAGGTCGCTGAGATGCGACAAGGAGGGGCGGAGGCTGCTGCACTGCACCTGTGGGATGGCGGCATTGGGTTGACGCCCTCCCAATCTGGTGAGTTGCTTTCAGACCTTTCGTTGCTTTCCGTACCTTGCCTCACCGCCGCTTGACTTGTGAGTCTGCTCGACCCTCTTCAGAGAACATTGTTTTATTCTTTCTTTGGTTCCTTTGTTTTTCTCCCCCCGCTCTTTCCACCCTCTTCAGAGAACACGGCAAGCAGCAAGGCAGAGTGTGCCTACCTGCCCTTTCCACACCAGCAGCAGCAAGGCAGAGCGTGCCTGCCCTGCCCTCGCACAACGCCTGCTGAATCTGGCCACACGGGAGGCTGAGTCTCCTCTCGCCTCTGACAGCCATGACAGCCATGACACGTCACCATGACCTGCTGGTCGCCGGCACGTCAGACGGCAGAGAGGAGGCTGTCCTCCCCACACCAGCAAAGATACGCGCTCGTGCGTTGCTGCAGCGCCTTGAGTGCGCCACCTTCGGGACTGACAAGACCCCGCCTTGTTGCAGACTGCAGCACCTCCAGCGCCCACATTCACACACGGTACGTCGCTCGTGTACCCGTCTTTCCTTGTTGCTGTTGTTGTCTCTTCTTTCTTCGCTCCGTTCGCTTCCTTGCTTGTTCACGGTTCCTCGACTTACCACCGTGCTTGTTGTTCCATGCAGCGCTCTCAACGCAAGCGCATGCAAGGGGGGGGGGAGCGTATGGGCGTGTGGCTGAGGTGGACGGCACATGGCTGACGTGGACGCGAGCGTGTTGGGATGACGCACGGCCGGCAGTCACAGGCGTGTGACTGCCTCCTACCCGCCCTGCTGACCACGCGCTCGGAGGCAAGGCGCGGTGGAGTGGGGCGATGGGTGGGCGGAGGAGGATGGGTGGTTTGCTTGATTGGGCTGGGTTGCTTGATGGGGCTGGGTTGCTTGATGGGGCTGGGTTGCTTAATTGGAGGAGAAGACGAGGAGCCAGGGCTGCGGGAGAGGAGGAGAGGGAAGAGGGAGAGGTGCCGCTGCTGGCGAGCGCGCCTGCATGCAGCTTCGACCCCTCCTCAATAAGGCTAAGACATTCTCCCTTCTCTTGTTAATTTCACGCACTTTGCCGTCACTGCCACCACCACCTCCACTCGTGTTAATCACTGCCTTGATTCCCCCCGTGTTAATCACTGCCTTGATCCCCCCCGTGTTAATCACTGCCTTGATTCCCCCCGTGTTAATCACTGCCTTGATTCCCCCCGTGTTAATCACTGCCTTGATTCCCCCCGTGTTAATCACTGCCTTGATTCCCCCCGTGTTAATCACTGCCTTGATTCCCTTCGTGTTAATCACTGCCTTGATTCCCCCCGTGTTAATCACTGCCTTGATTCCCCCCGTGTTAATCACTGCCTTGATTCCCCCCGTGTTAATCACTGCCTTGATTCCCCCCGTGTTAATCACTGCCTTGATTCCCCCCGTGTTAATTACTGCCTTTATTCCCCCCGTGTTAATCACTGCCTTGATTCCCCCCGTGTTAATCACTGCCTTGATTCCCTTCGTGTTAATCACTGCCTTGATTCCCCCCGTGTTAATCACTGCCTTGATTCCCCCCGTGTTAATCACTGCCTTGATTCCCCCCGTGTTAATCACTGCCTTGATTCCCCCCGTGTTAATCACTGCCTTGATTCCCCCCGTGTTAGTCACTGCCTTGATTCCCCCCGTGTTAATTACTTCCTTGATTCCCCCCGTGTTAATCACTGCCTTGATTCCCCCCGTGTTAATCACTGCCTTGATTCCCCCCGTGTTAATCACTGCCTTGATTCCCCCGGTGTTAATCACTGCCTTGATTCTCCCCGTGTTAATACTGCCTTGATTCCCCCCGTGTTAATCACTGCCTTGATTTCCCCCGTGTTAATCACTGCCTTGATTCCCCCCGTGTTAATCACTGCCTTGATTCCCCCCGTGTAAATCACGAGCGTGTTGGGATGACGCATGGCTGGCAGTCACAGGCGTGTGGCTGCCTCCTACCCGCCCTGCTGACTATTCGCTCGGAGGCAAGGCGCGGAGGAGCAGACGAGGAGGCGGCGAGGAGGCAAGGAGGCAAGGAGGCAGGAGGAGGCAAGGAGGAGGTAAGGAGGTTTCTTGGGCTGCTGAGAGCACTGCCATGTGTCGTGACGCCCTGCTATGGCAAGGAGCAAGGAGGCTGAGGCATGCCAAGGAGGGGCAGACGGCGGAGAGGAGGGAGCATAGGCATAGGCATAGGAGGGGAGAAGACGTGTTCAGAAGAGGAGGAGCGAGCAGAGGATGGCAAGCAGAGGAAGGAGCGTGTGGAGGTGAGTGGAGCCCACCTGGCATTCCTTGCTGTGCCATCAAAAATCTGGTGAGGTCCGAGCCATAATAGAATCCTTCTCTCCCTGGCTCCTCATAATCCAATTCTGTTCCTCTCTCCTTGGCTTGTGGAGCAGAAGCAGAGGGAACAGAAACGGGGGATAAAACGGGGGACTAAAAAGCAGAGGGTGGAAAACCTGGGCGCCCAGGTTCCCCACCCTTCAATATGTTCTACCCGCCCAGGTTTCCCACTCAGAGGGTGGGAGACCTGGGTGCCCGTCAATGTGTTTCGCTAGAGCTGAACCGGTTACACTGGATTTCAGGGACAGCAACTGCAGGGACACTAACTATAGGGACACTAACTGCAGGGACACTAGATACAGGGACGCTAATTGCAGGGACACTAGATACAGGGACGCTAACTGCAGGGACACTAGATACAGGGAAGCTAACTGCAGGGACACTAGATACAGGGACGCTAACTGCAGGGACGCTAACTTCAATATGTTCTACCCGCCCAGGTTTCCCACTCAGAGGGTGGGAGACCTGAGCGCCTATCAATGTGTTCCCGTAGAATATAGCCATTATCACGGCCATATTCCATTCCTGCCATTATAATGGCAGTATTTCCTAACTACTTTCTTATTATTCCCCTTAGGGAACTACTCTCTTTCTATTCCCCTTCAAGAATTACTCTCTTTCTATTCCCTTTTGGGAATTACTCTCTTTCTATTCCCCTTAGGGAATAACTATGATGATGCTTCTCATGATGTGGTAATCTGTGGCCGTAGAAACAGCTTGGCAGCAGTACTGGGGTGTTAGCACATGCGTTGTGCCTTCTTCCCTGGACAACCGAAGCAGTTCCGTGTGGCAGTCAAGGCAGGAGGATGAAGACCACATTCGCTGGAGCTGAACCGGTTACATGGGCTATACTGGATTTCAGGGACAGCAACTGCAGGGACGCTAACTATAGGGACACTAACTGCAGGGACACTAGATACAGGGATGCTTACTGCAGGGACACTAGATACAGGGACGCTTACTGCAGGGACGCTAACTTCAAAATGTTATACCCGCCCAGGTTTCCCACTCAGAGGGTGGGAGACCTGGGCGCCTATCAATGTGTTCCCGAGGAATATAGCCATTATCACGGCTATATTCCTTTCCTGCCATCGTAATGGCAGTTTTTCCTTTGAAAATTACTCTCTTTCTATTGCCCTTTGGGAATTACTCTGATGATGCTTCTCATGATGTGGTAATTTGAGGGCGTAGAAACAGCTTGGCAGCAGTACTGGGGTGTTAGCACATGCGTTGTGCCTTCTTCCCTGGACAACCGAAGCAGTTCCCTGTGGCAGTCAAGGCAGGAGGATGAAGACCACATTCGCTGGAGCTGAACCGGTTACATGGGCTATACTGAATTTCAGGGACAGCAACTGCAGGGACGCTAACTATAGGGACACTAACTGCAGGGACACTAGATACAGGGACGCTAACTGCAGGGACACTAGATACAGGGAAGCTAACTGCAGGGACACTAGATACAGGGACGCTAACTGCAGAGACGCTAACTTCAAAATGTTCTACCCGCCCAGGTTTCCCACTCAAAGGGTGGGAGACCTCGGCGCCTATCAATGTGTTCCCGAGGAATATAGCCATTATCATGGCTATATTTCTTTCCTGCCTTTATTATGGCAGTATTTCCTTTGGCGGTATTACGCCAGAGCTGAAACTTTGCGCACGCACATCAATGTGCACCTAGGCACACTAACCACAGGGACAGCAACTGCAGGGACGTTAACTGCAGGGACGCTAACTACAGGGACGTTATGCAGGGACGATAATTACAGGGACATAGAAACGCTAACTACAGGGTCGCTCAGTACAGGGCTTGTGCATGCTAACCACAGGAATGATAATTACAGGGACACTAACTACAGGGCGTGTGTTCAAGGCACGCTAATTACAGGGATGCTAACTACAGGGTTAAGTACTGTGCGTGTGTGCCAACGCAAGCTAACTATGGGTTCCCCTTTGGGAACTACCCTTCTTTTTCGGCCGTTGGGCCGGGTGTTACACCACCCGGTCTGAGCATGGCTTGTGAGACGCCTCAGCCCTGCTCGTGCTTCTTGTGGGACGCCTCAGCCCTGCTCGTGCTGCGCGGCTGCGAACGTGGACGGCAGCTACGGTGGTGGGTACTCGGTAAGCCGCTGCTCCCTGTTGTTTTTTGTTTAACTAACCCCCCGTTGTTCCCATGCAGGTCCCACACGAAGGGTCCCCACCTCAGCGTGGTGTGTGGGTGTAACACTAGGGGTTAACCCCCCTAGTGGCCAAGAGGGGCCCAGAAGACCCAAGACCCTGGCGCACTTCATATGCTTATGAAGCAGAGAAGGCCAGGCCAGCTGAAGCAGAGGGGGTTAGCTGAAGCAGAGGAAGCAGCGAAGCAGATGGGATTAGCTGAAGCAGAGGGAGCAGAAGGCGTGATAATTTAGAAGGGCTAAAATGCAGAGGGTGGGAAACCTGGGCGCCCAGGTTCCCCACCCTTCCATATGTTATACCCGCCCAGGTTTCCCACTCAGAGGGTGGGAGACCTGGGCACCCATCAATGTGTTCCCGAGGAATACAGCCATAATCACGGCTATATTCCTTTCCTGCTGCTAACACAACGCATGTGTTATCACATGCACCATGGCTAACTTCACACTAACTACAGGGACCCTAGATACAGGGACACTAACTGCAGGGACACTAACTACAGGGACACTAACTACAGGGACACTAACTACAGGGACACTAACTACAGGGGCACTAACTACAGGGACCCTAGATACAGGGACACTAACTGCAGGGACACTAACTACAGGGACACTAACTACAGGGACACTAACTACAGGGACGCTTGTTTTCCCTGGCGATGGCGACGGGCCTCCACCTCACGGCGGCAGCAGGAGTGCCGGTGAGTGCATGTTGGCCGCAGGGTGAGTGCACGAGAGGCATAAGCGCTCGTGCGATGCTGCAGTGCCTTCAATGCTGCATTGCCTTTAAGAGGAGCCAAGAGGAGGGACAGCAATGCCCTTCACGCATGGTACGAGCTGTCGTGCTTTTCCGTGTGTTTCTCTAATCATGTGTTAGTTGTTGCCTTGGTGTGGCTGAAGATAGCAGCGCCAGGAGACTGCAGCGCCCTTCACGCATGGTACGCCGCTCTCGTGCTTTACATGTATTTGTCGTGCTTGTTTCACTTGATCCTTTTTTTCCTGTTTGTCTCTCTACCCCCCCCCCCCCCCCCCCCCCCCCCCCTTCCATTCCCTTCAAGTCGACTCGTGCGGCGAGGAGGGCGAGGGGGCAGCGCGCGGGGGGCAGCAAGAGGCGTCCCTATGCATAATCCCCCCTTCCATTCCCTTCAGCATGGCGGGCAGCGCGGAGACGACACGGCGGCCGGCACGGACGGAGGTGACGTGCTGCTTCATCGCTGCAGCAAGGTATCCTTCTTCCCTTGTCCGTTTCCGCATTGCTTTCTTTCAGCTTTTCGCATTACATGTATTTTTCGTGCTTGTTTCACTTGATCCTTTTTTTCCTGTTTGTCTCTCTACCCCCCCCCCCCCCCCTTCCATTCCCTTCAAGTCGACTCGTGGGGCGAGGAGGGCGAGGGGGCAGCGCGCGGGGGGCAGCAAGAGGCGTCCCTATGCATAATCCCCCCCTTCCATTCCCTTCAGCATGGCGGGCAGCGCGGAGACGACACGGCGGCTGGCACGGACGGAGGTGACGTGCTGCTTCATCGCTGCAGCAAGGTATCCTTCTTCCCTTGTCCGTTTCCGCATTGCCTTCTTTCAGTTTTTCGCATTACATGTATTTGTCGTGCTTGTTTCACTTGATCCTTTTTTTCCTGTTTGTCTCTCTACCCCCCCCCCCCCCCCCCCTTCCATTCCCTTCAAGTCGACTCGTGCGGCGAGGAGGGCGAGGGGGCAGCGCGCGGGGGGCAGCAAGAGGCGTCCCTATGCATAATCCCCCCTTCCATTCCCTTCAGCATGGCGGGCAGCGCGGAGAAGACACGGCGGCCGGCACGGACGGAGGTGACGTGCTGCTTCATCGCTGCAGCGAGGTATCCTTCTTCCCTTGTCCGTTTTGCTTTTTTTTTTCTCAGATTTGTCTTGCTTTCTTTCTGTTTTTTGCATTGCATGTGTTGGTCGTGCCTGTTTCACTTGATCGTGTGTTGTGTTTGTCTTGTGGTGTGTGTCGCTCTGCAGCTGGCAGGGTCCAAGACCGAAGACCGCCCCCGACTGCGGCATAGGTGTTGTGCGGCAGGGGTGGCTGACGGCGTTGGGTCGGACGCGGCCCGCGCCTGAAGCGCCCCTGTGTGTGAGTGAGTGCTCTGACGAGGGATGGGGGGACGCTCCCTGAACTCTGATGGCCTCCTCACCCCGCCTTCGCCTGGCCAGGTGTTACGCCACCTGGTCTGAGTTGGGCTGTGGGACGCTGCAGCCCGGCTCGTGTCGTTTAGGGGCTGCGGTCCCACACGAAGGGTCCCCACCTCAGCGTGGTGTGTGGGTGTAACACTAGGGGTTAACCCCCCTAGTGGCCAAGAGGGGCCCAGAAGACCCAAGACCCTGGCGCCCTCTATTACCGCCCGAATGATTCTGGATCTATATAATTGCCTAAATAGTGATGGACCTGGTTACGTTATCAATTAGACAACTAGGTTTCAGCATGGACAGTTGAAAATAGGTAGCCTAACATGCACCAGGGAAGCATATGGTGCACTGTTGCGGATAAACAGGATCAAGGACCTCTAACATTACAGTATAGGGGGACCTTTCACATTCAGTACATTATTTCATAATGCACAGGTCCTACTGTAAATATGCTGTTGCAGTTCCTGATACCTTACAGTGCTAGGAGACAGTTCCTGATAGGATATGCAGATTGAAACAGATGCAATTGACAAAGCGGCAGGTAGAGTAGTCACAAGAAAGCACCCTTAAAACTACCCTAAGTTTGTCACTTCTGCTACACATCACTCGATACTACTGTCTACATTTTGTCCAACGGCTCTCAAAGGCCCCCCCTTGACTGCCATTCTGCGCTCATCGAGCTGCTAGTGCTCTCTATGACCTGGCCCAGAAAGCCAAGCAGAGCGAATCCCTCAACAGCATATTATACCGTAACTTCTAACATGGGAGAGTGTACCCAAGTTTGTCACTTCTGCTACACATCTCTCGATGCTAACTACGGTACATTTCGTCCAAAGGCTCCCCAAGGCTCCTTTGACTACCATATTGCTCTCAACGGCCAGGCCCCGGGCTACTGCAATGAGATTCGAGAGCCAAGGAGAGCATAACTCCCAACATCTGTAGGTCATACCCAGTCTGTCGGGCTGTTCACATAAATACCGCAAGATGATACCCCAGTCTGTCGGGCAGTTCACATAAATACCGTAAGATGATACCCCAGTCTGTCGGGCAGTTCACATGAATACCGTAAGATGATACCCCAGTCTGTCGGGCAGTTCACATGAATACCGTAAGATGATACCCGTGTCTGTCGGGCTGTTCAACATGCAGGGTCGCGGGGTCGCGTGAAAGCACAGCCTTCAGGTAGGTCTACAGCTTGCAGAGACTGCGAGTAGTCATTTGCCGAGTCTAGCCCTGGGTCTATCTAGCCCTCCCCCTTACCGGCCCCATCCCCCTCTGCTCCTCCCCCTCCCACGCCTCCCCTGACTTGGAGATCCCATAGTTCATCAAGGGATGTCTGTCATAAGCCCAAACCCTCCGAATCCGAACCCGCCCTGCCCCTCATAGCCCCCCATGGAATCGGGAGACATATCCATGGGCCCCCCAGGCGACCTCAGATCTACGGCTTGAAGAGAAGGCGGGTAGTCGTCCGAATAGGGCGAGCCTGGGTCTAGCCCTCCCGAACCTGACCTTGGCGAACCTCCGCCGGACGACCCGTGCCCGAGCCTGTGTCCGGACCTGTATCCTGCGTCCGGGTATGCTGGCTCGTCCTGCCTGTAGAAAGTTTCTTGCTGCACAGGGACCTGCCCGGGCTGCCCGTATGGAGTAAAATCCTGGGGCTGGTGGTGCTGCTGCTGATGTGGCACGTTGAGTGGCTGAAGTTCCACGACCAGAGGTTGTTGCTGCGCTGGTGCGTGCTGAGGTGGCAGATGCTGAGCTGGCAGGTCGACAGGGTGTGGGGCAGGGAGGGCAGCGGCCTGGGTTGGCTGCGGTGCCGTGGTGTTGCTGCCGGTGGTGGTGGCGCTGGTGGTGGCACTGGTGGTGGTGGTAATGCTGCTACTTTTAACGGACTGAACGGTCGCAGTAGGGGTGAGGGAGAGCGAGAGCAGCTGTGCGAACTGAAGAGGCTGGGGCGAGGGTTTGGCCACAGCAGAAGCTTTGGAGGCATGAGGCAGAGTGGTGGTGGCAGCACGCGGCATCATAGAGGAGAAGAGAGAACCGGTTGCTGCAAACAGGCCTCCACTCTGGTGGGACACAGGGGATGACGAGGAGGATAAGAGAACAAGCAGCAGAGGCATGAGGCAGAGAGACGAGGGAAGCACGAGGCATGATGGATCATGGAGGAGAAGAGAGAGCCTGTGGCGGCAAACAAGCCTCCACTCTGGTGGGATAGGGAAGGGCAACGAGGGTGGGAGTACTGCTCATGTTCAAAGGAAGGAAAAAGGAAGACAGAGAAGGCGGAGAGCGTGGAGGATCGGAAACGAATGCAGGAACAGAAGGTTCATAGGATTGACCAGGCAAAACCACTGGAAGTAAACCACTGAGGCGGTTACATCAAACAAGCTCACCTGAGTGGAAGCAGCACGGGGAGGGGAGGGCGGCTCTGCAGAGAGCAGCTGCTCGATGCGCGAGTCGACAGTCCTGAGCTGCTGCATCACGTGCGCTAACTCCGCCTCCTTGGCTTCCACTGCTGCCCTCTGCGCCTCCACGCGCTGATGGGAGGGTGTGGGGAGACGAGTGGAAGGAGAAGGGGGGAAAGGTTCTGAGCTGCTGCATCACATGCGCTAACTCTGCCTCCTTGGCTTCCACTGCTGCCCTCTGCGCCTCCACACGCTGGTGTGGTGGGGGGGTTGTGGAAGGGGGTGTGGGGAGTGGTGTTGGTGGGGTGAGTGTCAGCCGCCCTGAGTTGCTGGTGGGGGGTGGTTAGAAGGGGGCAGGGTTGACGGGGGATATGGGATGGGTGAAGTGGGATGGGAGGGAGGAAGTTAACTCCTGCCTCCCTTCCCCCCAGACACTCACACACCCATGCATATGCACCCATCTGTACCCATCCATATGGCAGCTCATTTCCACCCCCCACAGCCACACACATGCACACGCACATCTACCCATCCGTATGTGGCCTCACCTTGTCCACGGCCCTCCTGCCGCCCGCCCTGCCATCCCGCACCATGGGAGATGCCATGCCATCCTGCATCGCCACCACCAGCGCCCCCTCCCCCTCCTCGCCTCCCACCCCCACGCCCCTCTCCCTCCCTCCCCTTCCTCCCTCCCGCACCCCCATCCCCTCCTCATCCACCTCTGCAATCACCACCGCCACCAGCCCCACCTCCCCGTCCTCCCCGTCCCCTCCCTCCCCTCCCGCTCCCCCTCCCCGCAGCTCCTCCCGCTCTCTCTCTGCGTATCTCTCCGCCTCTCTCTCTGCATCTCTGAGCGTCTGCCTGACAGCAGCCGACTCCTTCATGCAGAGAGCCACAGTGCCTCTCAGCGCCTCAGCCTGGAGCATCAGAGCCTCTACTTCCTTCTCCCGCCGCTCCTCACTCATTTCATTCACGTCCTCTGCCTCATCCTCTGCCTCCTCTGCTGCCTCCCTTGCTGTCTGCTGCTCCTGTGTTTTGCCCTCAGCACCTGAAGTCTCTGCTGCCTTATCTGCTGCCTGTACTGCTGATGCAGCTGTCCCAGTACCCTCATCCTTACCACCGCTCTCCCCAACAAAGATATGCAGAAACAGCTTCTTGACTTCCCCTGCTCTCGCTCCTGCTGCTCCTGCCGCCCCTGCTGTGCTGGCCAGGTCTTTTGCTCCTGTGCTCTCCTTACTGTCACCTTGTTTACTGTCATCTGGCTTACTGTCAGCATCTGCAGCAGCCCCAGCTTCAGCTTCAGCAGGAAGCTCGGGTTTCTTAGCAGCCCCCCAGAGCCCCAGGCCTGAGAACTTCATGCCCTGGAGCGAACTCACCAGGTTGCCTGCTGCTGCTGCCGCTGCAGCCGCCCCTGCCGTCGCTGCTGCCGACACTGTTGTCACCCCGCCGCCTGTCGAAGCTGCTGGTGCTGCTTTTGGCTCGCTCACCCCTCCCTTTTGTGACTCTACCACTGCTGCTCCATCCGCTGTGGCCCCTGCAGCTGCCACATCTGCTCCTCCGCCTGCTGTTACTGCTCCGCCTGCTCCTGCCTGGCCGTCCTTAGCAGTAGCAGCAGTAGCAGTAGCAGCGGCGGCAGTGGCAGCAGTAGTAGCAGCAGCAGGAGTGGTGACTGCAGGCTGTTTGGGTGCGAAGACAGACACAGCAGCAGCCAGAAGCCCCACCTTCTTGTCTCCTCCAGCAGCTGTAGCAGCACTTGTACTGGCAGCTTCAGCTGAAGCCGTGCCGTTCACACTCTCTCCTGCTACGGCCGCCGCCTTGGCTGCTTCGGCTGTAGCAGCAGCAGCCGCTGCAGCCGCTACAGCCGCCTGTAAGCGGTCCTCCAGCAACCCCACTTGGTGCAGAGACAGCTGTAGCATCACATGCACAAACGCCAACCGATGCCGCCCTGACTGCCCACCTGCTGCCGCCCCTGCTGCTACATCCCCTGCTTCTCCCCGGCCCACGCCCGCTCCCGCCGCCAAACCACCTGGCGAAACCCCTGGAGCACCTGGGAAAACACCTGGAGAAACACCTGGGACGCCAGGAGAAACAGAGGGCCACCAGGGCCCGCGGCCGTGCAGCCAGGGGCCCCACCTGGCGGGCCCTGACGCCGAGTGCGCCTCACGCTCTGCTATGAGCGACGCTGAGAGCTGCTCCCACCGCTGCTGCACCGCCGAGCGCGGGGAGAGCAGCGACACGCTCAGCCGCCGCGAGGCGGAGCGACTGATTCGCCCCGCCTTGGCAGACGCGTGTGTGGCTGCTGCTGGCGCTGGTAGCCCTGCCGGCGCCCCCACCCTTGCCGATGCTGCTCCTGCCGGCCCAGCCCCTGCCCCTCCTGCTACCCCTCCAGCCTCACTGCTCCCACCAGGAGGAGTCACACTCCCTGCTTCGCCCGACCCGCCGGCTCCCACGCCAGCATCAGTGCGCAGAGACTCGGAGACGGCGCGGCTGTAGGAGAGGCCCTTTTTGAGCGCGAGCAGCTTGATGCCCATGCTCACGCCCTCGTCCGGCCGCGCCAGCCCCTTGAGCAGCTCCGACGCGCCGTGCACGTACGACAGCATGTCTGAGGACGTGCGCTCCAGCCCCAACCCGCCCGATGCCCTGCCCTCGACCCTGTTCTCGCCCTGCTGTGGCTGTGGCTGTGAAAATCTGCCTGACTTTTCGGCAGCAGCAGAGGTATCTCCTCCGGGGCTGTCAGCAGAAGCAGGGAGCTTGGGGCGCGGAGGCAGCAAGGGCGCCTCCCCTGCCCTCCGCCTCGCCCAGCTGTCCTGCCTCTCCGCCATGACAGGCCCCTCATATTCCCCGCCTGCACCACCAGCACCACCAGCAGCTGAGAAAGCACCAGACGCGCCAGCAGCACCAGCAGCAGAAGTGCCAGCGCTGGCAGCAGCGGCGGCGGCGGCGGCAGCAGCGTCGCTCCCGAGAGCGCCGAGAGCTTCAAGCTGCCTGTGCGCCTCTGCCAGCGCGCGCAGGGCCTCCTGGCGCCCCCGCCACTCCTCCTCCGCCACCAGCGCTACCTCCGTTGACAGCTCCTGCTCGTGCTGTAGCTCCAAATACAGGTGGTCTAGCTCCTGCTCCAAGGAAGACTGCACCTCTGCTGTGTCCTCCAGTTGCCTGCAGAGTGAAAGGAGGGGAGGCGGGGAGGAAGTGAGGGTGGGTGGGACGGTGGACAGCTCCTGCTCGTGCTGCAGCTCCAGGTACAGGTGGTCTAGCTCCTGCTCTAAGGAAGACTGCACCTCCACTGCATCCTCTAATTGCCTGCAGAATGAAAAGGGCGGAGAGGGGGAGGAAATGGGGGTGCGCTCCTGCTCGTGCTGCAGCTCCAGGTACAGGTGGTCTAGCTCCTGCTCTAAGGAAGACTGCACCTCCACTGCATCCTCTAATTGCCTGCAGAATGAAAAGGGCGGAGAGGGGGAGGAAATGGGGGTGCGCTCCTGCTCGTGCTGCAACTCTAGATACAGGTGGTCTAGCTCTTACTCTAAGGAAGACTGCACCTCCACTGCATTCTCCAGTTGCCTGGAAAATGAAGGGGGTGGGGGGTGAGGCGCGGGGAGAAAGGGGGTAAGAGAGGGGAGCTCCTGCTCGAGCTGGAGCTCCAGATACAGGTCGTATGGATTGGAGCTCCAGATACAGGTCGTATGGATTGGAGCTCCAGATACAGGTCGTATGGATTGGATAAAGGTCCTGCAGCTCCTGCTTTTGAGACGTCTCAAAGGTCCTGCAGCTCCTGCCCTAATCTCTTCTGCTGCATCCTCAAGTTGCCTGCAAACGATGGACACACAGCACAGCACACAGCACATCTCACCTCAGCGCCTGGGCGCATTTCGCCCTCAAATCTTCCAGCTCCGACTCCGATTCCCCCGCCTCTCCTCTCGCGACCCCCTCCGCCCCCTTCCCCTCCGCATCCTGCTTCTCTTCACCCTCTTTCCCCACATCCGCACTCCCCCCTTCAACCATCCCCCCCACACTCCCACCCACACTCGCCCCCACAACCACCCCTCGCGCCACACTCTCTTCCAGCTCCCTCACCCTCTCCTCCGCCTCCCTCCCTCGCTGCACCTCCTCCTCCAGCTCCCTCACTCGCTTCTCCGCCTCCTCCCGTCTCCCCCTCTCCTCCTCCCCCCGCGCGCTCGCCTCTCTCTCCCTGTGCTCCGCGGTCTTGCGCCCCATCACGTACTCCACCATCCGCTCGCGCATGCCCGCCAGTTCCGCCCCCATCTCCTCCGCCACCCGCCTCGCCGCCCCCTCCGCCTCTTCCGCCCGCACCCTCTGCCGCTCCAGCTTCCCCTCCAGCTCCCTGACCTCTCTCTCTGCCTCTTCTACCTGTTCCCTCAGCTGTCCCACCTGCCCAAGCTCGGATCTAACCTCTTCAAGCTCTCTCTCTGCAGCCTCCGCGCGTTCCCTCTGCTGGCCTAATTTGGCCTCTAGTTCCTTCACCTCCCCTTCCGCCTCCCCGCCCCTCTCCCTCTGCTGCCCCAGCTTCGAGTCGAGTTCCCCCATTGCTCGCTCTGCCTCCTCCGCTTTCGCCCGCTGCGCCCCCAGCTGAATCTCCAGCTCCTCCGCCTTCGCCCGCTCCGCCCCCACCTGCGTTTCCAGCTCCGCCACTTGGGCTTTTAGCTCAGTCACCTGCGCCTCGAGCGTCCGCCGCGCCCCCAGCTGCGTTTCCAGCTCCGCCAGTTGCGCTTTCAGCGCCCTTGTTTCCGCTTCCGCCTCCCCCGCCCTCTCCCGCTGCACCCCCACCTGCGCGCCCAGCTCCACCACCTGCGCCTCGAGCTCCGCCACCTGCGCCTCGAGCGTCCGCTGCCGCCCCTCCGCCTCCTCCACCTGCGCCCTCTGCTGCACCACCTGCGCCTCGAGCTCAATCACCTGCGCCTCGAGCTCCCTCCGCGCTGCCTCCGCCTGGTCGCGCTGCTGCTCTGCTGCCTGCCTGCGCTGCTCGCCCTCCTCCCAGCGCTCCAGCAGATTCGCCTTCTGCGCTTCTGCCGCCTCTATCCTGTCCCTTAGGTCCTCTAGTTCACCCTCCAACTCCACAATCCTTCCCGCCCCTCCCTTCCCCCCTTCCTCCTCACTCTTCTCGCTCTTTTCCCCCGCTTCTTTGCTTCCCCCAGACCCCCCTTCTCCGCCCCCACTGCTCTCCGCCTTCTTCCGCCACTCCTCCGCCTCCCTCTCCGCCTCCTCCCTTCTCCCCTTCTCCTCCAGCACCTTCCGCACAGCAGCCTGCGCCGTCCGCTCCGCCTCCTCCACCCGCGCGCGCATGCCCTCCACCTCATCCCTCCCCTTCTCCAGCTCATCCCTCCCTCTTTCCACCTCACCATTCGCCCTGTCCAGCTCATCCCTAACCGCGTCCAGCTCAGCATTCGCGCGTTCCAGGTCATCCTTCAAATCGTCAATCTGCCGCCTGAAATCATCCTCAGCTTGAGTCGCTAGATCCTCCATACCCTTAGCATAAGCAGCCATACTTTCCCTCATAGACTCTCTCTCTAGTTTCATCTCCTCATCTACCATCTGTAACTCCTGCTCTAGCTCCAAAGCCCGATCCCTCTCCTCCTCCCAACGCCTCTCCGCCTCATCCAACCGCTCCTCAAGCTCCGCCACCTCTCCCCCCGCTCCGCCCCGCCTCTCCTTCCCCTCCGCGCCCTCCGCGTCCCCCTCCGCGCGCTCCAGCTTCCGCCGCGCCTCTTTGAGCGCTTTCTCCGCGGCTTCCCGCTTGCCTGTTTCCGCCTGCATCTGCTCTTCAAGCTCCGCCATAACCGCCTCTACGTACTGCCGCTTCCGCGCCTCCTCGCGCGCCCTGTCGTCCGCGTCCTTGGCCTTCTCCCCCGCGTCCCTCAGCTGCTCCCGCAGCTGCTCCACCTCCGCGCGCATCTCCTCCAGCGCTTCCTTCTGGCGCGAGGGGCGGGAGGGGAGGAGCGGGCAGAGGCGACAGGGGCGAAGGGGACGGGGCGCGGGCAGACGGGACGGAAAGAGGAGACGCGAGAAGGAGAAAAGGAAGATGCGTGAGCAGAGGGGCGAGGGAGGATAGACCGAACAGGAGCGAATGCGAGGAGAGAAAGAGAAACGGAGGATGGAGAGCAGGGGGGCGGTGCGTGCGGGGGAGGAGGAGTGACAAGGGGCAACGAGGGACGAAAGGCAGGAAAAACAGAAAGGAAGGAAGGAGGTGACCGAGGAACAAGCGGAGCGAGTGGCAAGGGAGGAATTCAAGTTTAGAAATGGGCACGTGAACGAAAACCCGAAGAGGGAGGAGAGTAGGAGGGGGAGTGGGAGGGGGAGTGGGAGGGGGAGTGGGAGGGGGAGTGGGAGGGGGAGTGGGAGGGGGAGTGGGAGGGGGAGTGAGAGGGGGAGTGGGAGGGGGAGTGGGAGGGGGAGTGGGAGGGGGAGTGGGAGGGGAGTGGGAGGGGGAGTGGGAGGGGGAGTGGGAGGGGGAGTGGGAGGGGGAGTGGGAGGGGGAGTGGGAGGGGGAGTGGGAGGGGGAGTGGGAGGGGGAGTGGGAGGGGGAGTGGGAGGGGGAGTGCGAGGGGGAGTGGGAGGGGGAGTGGGAGGGGGAGTGGGAGGGGGAGTGGGAGGGGGAGTGGGAGGGGGAGTGGGAGGGGGAGTGGGAGGGGGAGTGGGAGGGGGAGTGGGAGGGGGAGTGGGAGGGGGAGTGGGAGGGGGAGTGGGAGGGGGAGTGGGAGGGGGAGTGGGAGGGGGAGTGGGAGGGGGAGTGCGAGGGGGAGTGCGAGGGGGAGTGGGAGGAGGAGTGGGAGGGGGAGTGGGAGGGGGAGTGGGAGGGGGAGTGGGAGGGGGAGTGGGAGGGGGAGTGGGAGGGGGAGTGGGAGGGGGAGTGGGAGGGGGAGTGGGAGGGCTGGGGAAAGGGGGTGGGGGTGGAGGGGTGGACGAGGGGGTTGGGTTGCTTGAGACGTGTCGAACATAAGAGAAGGTTGCTTGTGCATGAAAACGAAAGACAGCAGAGGGAGGAGAGTAGGAGGGGGAGAGGGAGGGTTGGGGAAGGGGGGTGGGGGGCCAGGGTGGGGTGATCTTGAACATAAGAGAAGGTTGCTTGTGCACGAGGACAAAAACCAGGCGGTGGGAGCAAAAGGCGAGGGTGTGTGTGGGAGGGGAGAGTTGAGGGTGTATGGGGGAGGGGAGAGTTGAGGGTGTATGGGGGAGGGGAGAGTTGAGGGTGTATGGGGGAGGGGAGAGTTGAGGGTGTATGGGGGAGGGCTCTCACCCGTGCAGAGCGCTTGGCGTCCTTCTTCTTTTTGTGGGCGTCCTCGTCCTGCTAACGAGGCATGGCATAGCGGGGACGTGATGGGACCTCAACAAATGGCAATGACGGCTGGTGAGAGGTGCTAGGTGGAAGACAAGTGAAGGGCGAAGCAGGAATGATTGAGGGGCGTGGCAGCAAGGCGCGTGGAACAGAACAGACAAAGGGCACAACGGGACAATGGGGGTCAAGCGCAGTCAAAGGCAGTCAAGCGCAGTCAAGCGCAGTCAAGGGCAGTCAAGAACAGTCAACAGCAGTCAAGCAAAGTCAGAGCGGTGGCCAACAAAAGAGAGGGAGGGAGGGAGGGGCAGTCACGTGACTCACATCATGCCCCTCCATCCCCTCCGTGTCACATGGCAGTCAATCACAGTCAGTCTCAGTCAAGGAAAGTCAACTACATTCAACGGCAGTCACGTGACTCACATCATGCCCCTCCATCCCCTCCGTGTCACATGGCAGTCAATCACAGTCAGTCTCAGTCAAGGAAAGTCAACTACATTCAACGGCAGTCACGTGACTCACATCATGCCCCTCCATCCCCTCCGTGTCACATGGCAGTCAATCACAGTCAGTCTCAGTCAAGGAAAGTCAACTACATTCAACGGCAGTCACGTGACTCACATCATGCCCCTCCATCCCCTCCGCGTGTTCCACCAGCCCGCCGCCCTTCGTCCGCCCCGCGCGCCCCTCCTCCCCTCCTTCCCCGTGCGCGGCTGCGCGCCTACCCCTGCCCTTAGACGAATCGGTGGACGCGCCAGAAACCGTCCGCAGCAGCTCGTCGTCCCCCCCACGGTCCGCGCCTCCCCCTGCGCCACCGGCGGAACCAGTGGCGGAAGACGCGGAGGGCTTCTTCGCCCCCGGGACTCTGTGCCGCGGCCTGCCCTCCTCCTCCTCCTTCTTCCGCCCAGCAGCGCCGGCGCCCCCGCGGCTGAAGGCGCTGGGGGTAGCGCCCCCGGACGTGGGCGTGCTGCTGGTGCTGCTGGATCGGCTGGTGCTATTGGGGAACCTGGCGGCGGCCGCCGCCGCTTCTTCCGCCTCCGCGTCCTTGGCGGTCTTGGCTGGCGCGGGGGCCCCGGGCTGAACGCGCGGGTTGCGGGAAGGGGAGGGGGGGAGGAGGGAAAGATGGGGGGAAAGGATGGGAGAGAGAGGGGAGGATACTCATGAGCACTTGACACAGGCGAGTTCATACCATTCAACTCACGCACCATAGCATCGGAAAAATCATGAAATCACATTCGACGAGCATCCTATCAGTATCCTAGAAGCATCGTAGAGGTATCTATAAAGAATCATGGTTCAGTCCAGTAGGACTTGACCGGCCGGCAGCGAGTGTGCGACTGCCTTTACTGGCCGGCAGCGAGTGTGCGACTGCCTTTACTGGCCGGCAGCGAAAGTGCGACTGCCTTTACTGGCCGACAGCGAGAGTGCGACTGCCTTTACTGGCCGGCAGCGAAAGTGCGACATGCCTTGACCGGCCGGGATCGATGGTGCGACTTGCCTTGACTGGCGGGGAGCGAGTGCGCGACTGTGCGACTTGCATTGATTTGCAAGAAGCGAGTGTGCGACTGTGCGACTTGCCTTAAATCGCGCGAGCAGGCCGGCAGCAGCAGCTCGGAGCGGCGAGGCGGACGGGTTGCCGTCGGCGTCCTGTGCACACTCAGCCAAGGCACCAGGTAGGGAATAGTAGGGATCACGGAGAGAAGGGCAGTGATCAGAGGAAGGACCGGAAGGCAGCGCGTATCGCGGATGCCGTCCTTAACACGCGGAGCAAGGGACCATGGGCTACAGATGACTATTTCAAGCCGCCTCCTAAATGGGCTCTTAAACACTACTCGTCCTCGACACGCGGGCCGAAGGATCACGGGACAAATGTCTTTTTGAGTCGGCTTAAGAGTTACAGTTGCCGTCCCCGAAACGCGCCAAGGGATCAGGTGAAAAATTGGTGGAAGACCGAAATGCAGAGAGGCTGGCAAATAAAGACGGTCCCGGCAATGCAGGAGCGCTCAGCATGCCAAGCTTCAAGTGCGTTGCGCTTAAACGAATAGTAATGTAAACGAGAAAATAAGAAGAGCTTACCGTGCTAGAGTAGGCGGAGTTGGCAGAAGGAACTCAAATAAGGGAGCAAAGATGCATCAGGCAGAAGAAAATCGTTGAGAGATGAGAAGAGAGGCATTGCTGGCACTATGTGGGAATTTTCTTTATGTGTTTTTATGTCGAAGAGGTGGAAAAGAGAGGAACGGGTGGCACCATTAAGGAAGCTCGATGGAGTTCGATAACTCGAGGTCGTCAGTCCAAACGGCGACGATTGTGGCTTCGCGTGGCTCCGGCTATGCTGATGAACTGATACAATCTCCAAGACGTAATTTCGTCTCTAATAAATAGAAGAATGCTTTAGAAGATGCCTGAGGATGATCAATCAAGCATCAATGTTTCTCTCCTATCACTAGCGTGAACACATGTTTTCCCAATCACCTAGATAGGAAGGCTATCTAGCCATCAACCTCGCACCTCCCATACAGGCATGGCTAACCAACTACTGTGCCGGCTCAATGGGGCGTGCCATGGCATTGCTCGCATTCTTGAAGCACAAATTTCAGAACTGGCCTCTTGAGATCGCTCCACTTTACGGAGAAAATGGGGAGCGGGAGTTGGGTGAAAAAGGGGCCGGCGGGGGTGGGAAGAGGGGGAAGAGGGGAGGTTGGGGGAGGGTGATGGGGAATCCTAGCTGGAGGGGTAGGTCGGATTGACCCAGGAATTCGGGGGATGATGGCTTGAGGGTACCTGGGGAGGGCGTGTAAATTACCGAGTGGAAGTTGGGTTTGGTCTGGTCTTGGGAGGTTTCTGGTCGGTGCAGTTGGGCAAACAAGCTCAATATGACTATAGCGAGGGGATGGCATTTTCGCTTGCAAGCCCAGAAATGACGGTTCAGCAGTGAAGCACCCACTGATTCTCGGCACGTAAAGTGCACACGATAAATTGCTAGTCTCGCAAAACGAGAACTACGCCAGTGATATAGCATAAGCCGAAATAGTGTACTAGCTCTCTCATTTTCATACCCGTTATTGTGTCGCAGAAAGATACAAATCCAAGATCCAGGTCTCGTCTCGTCTCAGCAAGGACCAATGTCATCCCTCGAGATTGCCTTCGGCGGCATCAAATTTCGTCGGGACCTGCAAACCGAAACCTTGGGCTCGTCCTTTTTTCCTCCCAATCGAAGTCCACCTGAACTGCTTGTGAATCCGTACGTAGGAGTTTCCACCTGACGTTACCTTGCAGTACACTGTACAGTCATTCCAGTTCGTTCCATGGCGGATTCGTCGTGCACTCGCACACTGGCTCGCAGCACATGAAAGCATCGGCTGCGATTTTCGTTCTCGCCGCAACAGCTGATTCCTGAAGCACTCAGTGAGGTGACACGAATTTATCCGCTTTGCACGCAGTTCCACTATACTTGAGAGAGTTAGCATCGTCGTCTTGCTAACATGGGAGCGGTCGAGTCCATTCTAGTCGTCTCGGATTCCGACGAGGAGGGCGACGAGGGGCAACAGGGTAACCAGCAACGGCGACGAGAGCGACAGCGTCGCAAGGCGCTGGGGGGGGATGCAGCCTCCGCGGAAATAACGAGTCTAGAGCGTCAGGCGGAGCAGCAACGGCGGAAGAACCACGCGGAAGGAGCGGGTGACGGCAAGCGGGGCGGTCCTCCAGGCGGAAACAGCCTTGCGAGAAGTTATAGCGTTGACTCGGTTGACTCCGTTGACTCGCTTGACCGCGACGAATCTATCTGCTCGCCCCGCTCCGTTGACTCCCTTGACCTTGCCTCCCCTCGTTCCGTTGAGTCGGCGGAACCGTACGATTCTGCTAATCTGCCCGTCTCCGCGCATCCTGGTACGCGCAAGTCCAAGGCGCACCACAGGCGGAGGGGCTCGCGCGGATCGTCGCGCCTCAGCAAGTCCGATTCCGCCACTTACGCCGACGGGCGCGTCGCTCCCGACGCTGACGTGGGACCCGCGACGAGCGGGAATGGACACGTCAGCGCTGCAGCGCTGGCAGCCGCGCACGCCAAGTCAGCTGGAGAATTATCATTGGGAGAAGACGGAGCGTTGCGAGAAAGAAGGAGCATGGGGGCGGGAATGGGCATGGGGGGGCTTGGGGAACCAGGCGGAGGGATGGGGAGGGGAAGGGGGATGTTATCGGGAGGCGGAGCACCATTACCTCCTGTGAAACTACCTGCGCCTGGTGGCGGACGCGTGAGTATAGGGGGAAGGAGTGGAGGAGGCGGGGGGAATGAGGTCGGGGGAAGCGTTGGCGCAGGCGTGGGGGCACATTGGGTTGTCCTGGGCAGCAAAGAAATTACCGAAGCTGCTTCCATGGCTCCATTCCAAACCTTCGCCGCTGCTATGGCGGTTGCCGAGCCTTCGGCCGAGGCTGCTGCCGAAGCTGCAGCCTCGTTGCAGCCAGGGTCCCCTGTGAGGCTGCAGCGTGTGCTCGCTGCTGTGTCACGAGCGCTAGACAGAGCCAGTGAGGAGGCAGCAGCAGGGAGGGAGGGTGGTGCAGGGGTACAGGTGAGTGATGCTGAGGCGAGTCAAAAAGAGGGAGAGGTGAATGTTGTGGCGACTGATAAGTCGCCTCGAGTGCTGGTTCCCGCGTCAGCTGCGCTAGACAGTGAGAGTGTGGCGGCAGCAGAGAATGGGGGCTTCGTGGAGGGAGAAGCTGCAGCAGGGAAAGAGGTCTCTGCGGCGGTAGAACCAGCAGGAGGGATAGATGAACGTGCAACGAAAGGAGCAGTTGCAGGGAAAGGGGTTGCTGCAGAGAGCGCAGCGGATGCAGGAGCAGCAGGGGTGGTGGCAACCGGGGTAGCAGCACAGGTGGCAACAGTAGTGGTCGCAGAGGGGCCAGATGGCATAATGGGGTTGGGTGAAGCAGGTGCGGAAGAGGAGGATGAGGATGAGGATGAGGATGAGGGTGAGGGTGAGGGTGAGGGTGAGGGTGATGGTGAGGGTGATGGTTCTGCTGTGGGCGGGCAAGAAGCACGCGCAGAGGCAACTTGTGAGAGGCCTCAAACAGGCGATGGTACCCATGCAGAGGCGGGTATGGGGGAGGAGGAGTCATTACCAGTGCAGGGCGGCGGGCTGGCAGGGAACGCGGGTGAGGCGGGTGGGAGGGGTGAGGGGGGTGATGGCAGTGCTGTGGGTGGGCGAGACGCACATGCCGAGGGGTGTGGGGGGGAGCAGCTAGCATTAGCAGTGCAGGGCGGCGGGCTGGCAGGGAACGCGGGTGAGGCGGGTGGGAGGGGTGTGGTTGCGGGAGATGCGGGTGACAGGGGCGAGGAGAGTGAGGAGGGTGAAGGGGATGAGGGGGGTGCGGGTGAGTTGAGTGAGGGACATGAGGTGGTTGGAATCGAAGGATCGGCTGATTTTTCTGGGGAGGGCGTTAAGGGGAGCGGTGCAGCTATTGGTGTGGAGGAGGGCGGGTGGGAGTCTGACAGTGAGTTTGGCACCCCGGAGCTACTCTCCCCCACTGGCAGCGTGAGCAGGGGCAGCGCTGACAGGGAAAACGTTGGTGGTAGCAGCAGCATGGGTAGTGGAGCTTTGAATCGCGAAGATATAGAAAGTGGCAGCATGGGTAGTGGCAGCATGGGTAGTGGCAGCAGTGCCACATGTCCACCTGCTGCCTCATCTCTTAGTAACGCCGTGACGAGTGCAGTAGCTGATGCTCCCGTTGCGGCTCTTGCTGCTGCTGCTGTTAGTGCTGAAGCTGCTGCTGCCGATAATGCTGCTGCTACTGATGCCTCTGGTTCTGGCCCAATATTATTAGTGGACAGTGCCTCGGCTACTGCTGCTGCAGAGGCAGAGAGAGCAGCACCCAGGCAGACTCTTGCAACGCAAGTGGCACCGCTGGTAGCACGAGAGGTAGCAGGCAGAGAAACAGAGGAGGAACGAGGAGCAGCAGCAGTAGCACCTGCTGACGCAGCAGTAGCAGCAGCAGCACAGGCAGAGGCAGAAGCAGAAGCAGTTGCAGCAACAGAAGCAGTTGCAGCAACAGAAGCAGATGGAGCAGCAGAAGCAGATGAAGCAGCAGGAGCAAGTAAAGAGCAGTTCTCTCCCATTGCAGCCTCCGTGCTTCCCCTCTCCCCACCAACGTGCGCCTGGCTCTCGCCCATGCAGGCTGCTAGCAGCAGCGGCATCAGCATCGAGTTCCACATCATCAGGTGATTCTTCAGGTGATGCTTCAGGTGATGCTTCGGGTGATGCTTCAGGTGATGCTTCAGGTGATGCTTCAGGTGATGCTTCAGGTGATGTTTCAGGCGATGATTTGGGTGATGCTTCAGATGAAATGCACCACGTGATGCTTCAGGTGATTAATCTCAAGTGATTTCTTCAAGTAACTCGTGTGTCGATCCCCGCATAACCAACCCAGTCCTCCTGTATACTCCTCTAACCCCCCCCCTCTCTCCCCTCCTTGCCCCCACCCCAGGCACGGGGAGTCAACCCAGTCACCTGCCCTCGTAGCCGGTCGCTCCCCAGCGGCCCTTCTAACCCCGAATGGGTGCCAGCAAGCTGTGGCTCTGGGCACCTTTCTGCGTCGCTACCTGCGGGTCCAGTGGGACGAGGTGTTCTGCTCGCCCATCCCGCGCGCCACACACACTGCCCACCTCGTGTGCCAGGTGAATCTCTCACTCACTCTCTTACTCGTGCGCACTAACCACCACTCCCGCCACCCCCAAGGGGTGCCAATGAGCAAGCCGTGGCTCTGGGCACCTTCCTGCGCCGCTACACACAGTGCCCACCTCGTGTGCCAGGTGAAGCCGCTCCTCCACTCGATTGAAACAACGCTTCCTATCCAGCAAGCCGTGGCTCTGGGCACCTTCCTGCGCCGCTACACACAGTGCCCACCTCGTGTGCCAGGTGAAGCCGCTCCTCCACTCGATTGAAACAACGCTTCCTATCCAGCAAGCAAGCAATGGCTCTGGGCACCTTCCTGCGCCGCTACCTTGGCCTCCAGTGGGATGAGGTGCACTGCTCGCCCACCCACGCGCTACACACACTGCTCATCTCGTGTGCCAGGAAGTACCCCCCTCTCTCTCTCCCAGACGCAATCTCTCCCAGACGCAATCTCTCCCAGACGCAATCTCTCCCAGACGCAATCTCTCCCAGACGCAATCTCTCCCAGACTCACTCTTTCGCACTCCCTCTCGCACTCACTATTTCGCACTCACTCTCTCGCAATCACTCTCTCACAATCACTCTCTCACAATCACTCTCTCACACTCACTTTCTCACACTCAGCACTCACTCATTCACTCCTCAAACTCGTTCCCTCACTCACTCATTCGGTTACCCCCACTGGAAAGAAGAGCAGTTGTGCAGATAGTCACCAGAACAAGGAAGTCTTTTGAGGCGCCTCAGAAGAGCAGTTGTGCATGTAGTCACCAGAACAAGGAAGTTATGTTGATACTTTGGAGAAGTCTCAAAAGAACAAGGAAGTCAATGTCTTTGTTTTCACCCATCTCCCCATTCACATTCACCATCTCTTGTCACCCCAGGAGCTGGGCTTTCCGACCAACCGCATACAGGAAGCATGTGAACTGCAGGAGATGAGTGCGGGCCACTGGGAAGGAAAGCCCCGCGCAGAATTTTTTTCTTCCGACGCTGCCCTGGCGTGGATGACCGCCTCTCAGCCCGACTTTTGCTACCCGGGTGGCGAATCCCAGCGCCAGGTCAGCTTTGATAAGAACTGGTTGGTACCAAAGCTGGGCGCTGTAGGGTTGGTACCAAAGCTGGGCTGTAGGGCTGGTACCAAAGCTGGGCTGTAGGGCTGGTACCAAAGCTGGGCTGTAGGGCTGGTACCAAAGCTGGGCTGTAGGGTTGCTTGCAGTCTGTGGCTGGGGAGTGGAGAGCAGAGCACCAGTAGTTGGTACAATGCGTCCCACTGTCTTCTTTCTGTCCATGGTTGCTGGATATGTGGCTGTCTCTGCTTCTCCCTGTTGTGCTTATTGCGCTGTTGCTGGTGCATCCCCATCGTGCGCGTGTGGTTTGTTCTTGTCCGTGCGTTGCTGCAGGTGGAGTATCGAATGGTGAGCTTCTTGAATCGAGTCGCCACAAACCACGCCGCCCGACTCATGGCAGCCAAGGCCAGTGATTCAGCTGAAGAGGAAAGCAGCAAGGGTATGGCTAAGTGCCGCATTGGCATATTCTCGCATTGCACGGCCATCAAATGCCTGTTACGGGGTTTGATGGGGTCGAGCCCTCACATGACCCACAAGATGGAAGTTGATCACACTTCAGTGAGTACGGTGGCTTTCTCACCAGCAACGGGTTGGAGGCTAGTGCGCGTGAATGATGTTTCTCACTTGCTCCTAGAGCAGGGGCCTATAGCCCCTTAATGGCAGTACGGTCTGGGCTGGGTTGGCAATGCTGTTTCGGTTTAGTTTGCATGCCGGTTAGTACGGCATGTACGGGCTTCGCGTGTGAACATACTATTTTCCGAAGCACATGCGATGCAGCACGCATGGGCGCGGGAAGCACGGTATGAGCAAGCTCGGATAGGCGATGAGATGAAGATTGTGCATTGTGTTGTGAACACATCCGCACGAGCTGAATGACACACCTCCTTACATCAATGTGCTAAAGATTAGGCAACATAAAGGGCTGCTTCACCTCCTTATTCGACATGGTGTGTGTTGGAATGGACTGAATTTACCTGCCCAGCTTGTAATGGTGCACATATGGTGGTCTACATTGTCCCCCATTACTTCACATGGCATATGGCCACAGCAGTTCTTTCATACAGTGTATGGTAATGCTTGGAATGATACTGATTGGGATGTTCCATTACTATTCCAGGGTCAGTCCTCCTTACAGAATAGTGTTTAGTTCATTTTACGCACAAAGGGTAGTACAGTGTTTCTATACAACGTAGAAGACGACGAATCGCTAATGTCTTGACTGAAACTGAGAGGTGCCACACACGCTAGCCCAGGTAAGGGCATGTGCGGCACAACGTCCTGCTTTTCCAGACCACATACCGAGGTCTGTGACCTCCGATGATAGCTCTTGTAAATCTTCCAACGGCTGAGATCTCGCCTCTCAACCGACTAGACGCGTTCGGCAGGCGGTTTTGCAGCTCTTGATTATCACCGACCTATACAATGGGGCCGCAGCTTCCGGACGAAGCCTCTCCGCTCACGCCTCAAGCCAATCCCTAACCGCGAACCCCCCTTTATTCCCCTTGACCCTTTTGCTTGTCCAATAGAAAATCAGCGCGACGCCGTCGTTATACCAGTTGTTGAATTGTCCAACCAGATCGCGGTTTCACAACGCTGGATGAATGCCACGATTCGCGACTGCCCTGGTAGACGCGGAGCCCAGACCAAACCAGAATGTCCCGAACCATCTCTCATTTCGCTGGTGCCTGCGGCCTCCTCGTGGATTTCGCAAAATGGTTACTGTCCTAGGAACTGACGAATTTGTTGTTCGTTGCCGTGTTTCGAAATCCCCTGAACGCTGTAAATTATGACCACGAATTTGCCCTCCCACCATCTCATCTCATCCCATCCCTACCCCGCTTGTCCCTCTCCACCCGAATTCACCAGCTACAAAATCTCGCGCCTGTGAATTCCAAACACAACAAATTCCTGTTTCTTCAGCTCGCGTTTCCTTGCGAGTCAAGAATTTCCTCTCTTGCATGAGCCTTTTCGACTGAGTTTGTCTTATTCGAACGTCACGATGGGCACGGGTACCGTGCTCGCCAGATTCGGCCTCAAGTGGCTCACAATCGCGGTGGCCGTGACTCTCGCGTCCGTCGCCGCGCTCCACGCCATCGACAACTATTACGTCGTCCGTCACCCGCCCGTCTGCGCCGCGTCCGCCAACCGTGAAGTCTGCGTCACGGAGTACCGGATCGCGCGCCGCTCCCTCGGCGCGGCGCCCGCGTCGACGCAGCAGGTGACGGCGGCGATGATCGAGTCGGCGCGCGCGAAGGTGGCGGCGGGACTGGAGCTGGTGAAGGAGATTCAGACGGCCAACGCGGGACGTAGTGTGGAGGTTGAAGCCGTTAGCGACGACTGTGTGACCCAGGTACGCGACGGTTGCCGGATTTGATGGTGAGGGCACCGCACCGCACTATCCGCACCTCAACCAGCTCCTATATTTTCCCGAATTCCAGCCTTATTCACACAACAGCTAAGTGGTTTTCCATTTATTTAGCTGTATTCTAATATATCAAAGTGTTGCTTTTGCGGCGGCAGGTGAGTGCGGCGCTGGCGCAGCTCGAGAAGTCTTCCTCCGCGATCAGCGCCGGCAGCAACGTGATCGACCTGCCCTACTGGCTGCAGACGGCGCAGACGCAACTCACCAACTGTCTCTCAGCGTACCGCGAATTGGCGCCGTCCGCGCTCTCCACCCCCACGGGTGTCTATCTCGCGTCGGAGTCCGCGTTGACCAAGTCAACGCTCGTCGCCGCCATCGACCTCACGTCGCAAGCCGCCACCGCGGCGCGCTCGTCGCGCGGCCGCCAGGCGCTGGAGAATGGCGGCGAGAGCAACGGGCACCCCGAGTGGCTGGAGACTGGACTATACGAACAGCTGAAGGAGCTCCAGGCGCACATGCAGGGGGACCACGACGGCGCGCAGGAGTGGGCGGAGAAGCGCCGCGGACTGCTCGGGCTCCCCGCGCCCACGGAAATCCGCCGGCGGGAGTTGAGAATCAAGGGGCACCACGCCGATCTCTGGGATAACGGCCGGAAGAAGGGCGGTCATCCCAAAGGCGTCGGCGGGCACAAGCAGCTATGGAAGAACGGGAAGAAGAAGGGGGGAAATCATGCCCCCGGTATCGGCGGGCACGCGCACCTGTGGAACAACGGGAAGAAGGTCGGCGGAAACCACAAGAAGGGGGTGGGGCACCACCCGGGGAAGGGAAGGAACCGCAAGTCCGGAGGAGGCGGAAGCGGCGGCGGCGGCGGCGGCGGCAGCGGCGGCGTATCCGGCGGGTCGTACACCCCGAGCTTGAAACCCGACGCGGTGGTGGGCAGCGGAGAGCAGTACTCGAGCGTGAAATCCGCCGTGAACGCCGCTCCTAAGAAGGGCCGCTTCGTCATCTACATAAAGGCGGGGACGTACGACGAAGTGGTTCAGTTCGATAACGAGGGGATCATCTTCGTGGGAGACGGGCCGGATCGCACGATCATCACGGGCAGCAAGAGCATGGGCGGCGGGTCGGGAACGACTTTCAAGTCGGCGACGGTGGGGGCGAATCGCGACAAATTCGTGGCGCTGGGCGTGAAGTTTGTGAACACGGCGGGGCGCGAGAACGAGCAGGCCGTGTCGATGCGCGCTAGTGGGGACGCTTCGGCTTTCTTCGAATGCGCGTTCGAAGGCTTCCAGGTCAGTGGCGAAACCATGTAACCGTGCTTCGCGAAGCCATGAGCGAAATACTTTTGTGAACAGCACAGCAAGCCATGAACAATGAGTTGGTCTCATTTGCCTACCAAGGGCTTTACATGGCTTGCAGGCATCCCGTATGCTCATCTCATGCCCCGTATTCTCCCCTCTCTCCATTCCCACCCACCAGGACACTCTATATGTGGACGCAGGAAGGCAGTACTACAAGAACTGCTACGTGGGCGGCACGATCGACTTCATATTCGGCGACGCGGCAGTGGTTCTCGACAGCATCGACATTCGGCTGCACACGAGCCACTCCTTCGTCACCATCACCGCGTCCGGCCGCGACACCAACGGCCCCACGGGGATCGTGATTCGGAACTCCAAGATCAGCGCGGATGCGGGAGTTACGGACGTGTATTTGGGGCGCCCGTGGAAGAGCTGTGCGCGCGTGGTTTACGTCGACACGTACATGCCTGCTGTGAGTGGTCACTGGATTTTGTTTTGTGCTGGGAGGGTAACCATGGGAATGGTTTGTGCTGACATGCCTGATGTGAGATGATGCTGCTGTGCCTGCTGTGTGAATCGGCACTGCATCAGTGTAACCCCTTCCTTTCTCCGCACGCACAGGCAAGTATGGCTCCCTCTCCCTCTCGCACGCTTTACCTCAGGAGCTCAATGCGGATGGGTGGAGCACGTGGGGAGGGGACACGCGCGGCAGCTGTGTGTACTATGCAGAGAAGGGCAGCACGGGGCCGGGCGCTCGCACCTCGCGAGCATCCTGGGTGCACCCTGGGATCATCTCGGACGCCTCCCAGTTCGACCCTGAGCCGTTTGTTGATCTGAGCACGTGGCTCGATGTTGCGGGGAAGAACCCCAAGTGGTGAGGTGATACATAGTTTAGGTGGCTGTAGGGACGGCTGGGGAATCTTAGCATTGTAGTTTTTTGCCAACAGAAGTTGTGGGGGCAATAAGTATGTGTGGTAGTTGTATGTATGTATGCTGTGATGTCAATGATCAGGCACACTATCACACCAGTGCAGTGGAACAAGGGGAAAGGTCGAGGTGTACGAATGTCCAAGACCAAAGTCGGGCTAAGAGTTTACCAATGACACAAAGTATTAAAACGTATTTGAATGGAACTCACCTCACAGAGCTTCTGTTGGAAACAATCGATCTTAAACGCCTCTGTCGTGTCGAAACACCGAGACACAAGTGAAGCAAGATATATCGGAGCACCCGCAAGTCAACCCTCGGAGGTTGAAGTAACCGCTGGAGGTTATGCGAAAGTCAAAGGTCAGCGACCTTTGACCTGACAAGTACAGCGCGACAGCAAGGACACACAACTGACTCGTTACAGAGCAGTTGCCCGAGTCGTCACTGTATCGTACCGCAACAGCAACAGTAAAGTAGTTATAACTGTATCTGTTCGTATTCCTTGTACTCTTATATAATCCTGTATCTCTTTGGTTTAATCAATCTACTTTGCCCTCACATACTAGCGCAAGGTGGTTCACAAATTCTTCACTAAACGCTTCCGCTATTACAACAAGTCCCACCCAGAGTTCACCCCTGCAAAGATCCTAAGGGCTTTTCTCAACCCAACATGGTATGAGAGCTATCAGGGGGAATTCAACTACTAAGACACCTACAACATCAGAAGACATGGCTACTCAGAAGGAAAGAAGTTCCTCTGTTGGATCTCCCGGCACTACTCCTACTCCACCTCCTGCCTCTGGCCTACAGACAGAGGAAGGTACAGCAACAAGACCCAGGGCAACATCTACTGAGACTCCAGCAAATCATCCTGCAGGCCTCGACCAGAGCATGATGGAAAAAATTTTCTCCTTCATGTCCTTCTACGAGCAACACCAGCAATCGGTACCTGCGCAGTCACACAACAGCAACAACAACAACGACGTGACTCCGATGAGCCTTGATGGTTCATCCTACGCACGTGGAAATCAACAGCAACAACCTACCTTTGCTCCATACGAGCCCCAGCGCGGCTCCGTCAGCTTCATGCCACAACCCGCACCTGGACAAGAAAAGACACTGGACGCGTTACAAGTTCAATCGCAGTTCGCGCACGTCCTGAAGCTGCAGACGTCAAGACCTTTCGACGGAAAGGACTTCTTTACCTGGTCATTCGAGTTCGAGTTGATGATGGAAGGCGCGCAAATCCTCGGTTTCTTCGACGGATCCCTGCCATACCCAACTAACGGCACACAGTACGAGAAGCAACAGTACACCTATCAGTCAATGATGGCGTACACAATCCTACTTAGGAATATCACCCCAACTCAGCAGCAGAATATACGGTCTTACCGGGGATACGGCAACTCCGCCGAACTCGCATACAGCCACTTGAAGAGCCTGTATCAAGCAACAGACAGCGTAAATCAGAGTCGATTGATGGCGCAACTGACAACAGTCGAGATGAAACCAGGCGAAAAAGGGATGGCGTATATCAGTCGCTGTCGCGAACTACGCGACAAACTCCTTCGATGTGGAGGATCAATTTCCGAAGAAGCCTTCGTCACGGTCGTCATCACTGGACTTGGTCCTCATTGGCGCTCCACTCGAGCTATTCTCCGAGCTCACGGGAAGATCTCCGAAGCAGCACTCTGCGCCGAAATTCATGCCGAGCAACAAGACATGGACCTGCAAGAAGAAAAACACAAGAGGAAGACATCAGCACCGGAATTCGCCTTCCACACTCAGCGACGCTACAACAACAACAACAACCGACAACAGCCAAAGCCCGTACCTCCATTCTGCCACATCTGCAAAACGTCAGGACATCCACGCACACACTGCCCGAATCGACAACAGTCAAATCCACCGCAACGACAACTTCGACCTTCAAGCAGCCAAGTGGCATCAACGCAGGCGAACCCCACAAGCCAGTCGCAGCCTTCAACGACACAATCTGCACAAGGAGCAAGAAATATCATCAGCTGCATGGCAAGATTGTCAGACTCCTGCATCACTGAATCACCACCGTACGACTCACCAGAAGAACAACTTGAAGAATCCACTCCTCGTCGCGAGACACTGGAGCCGAACCCGACATACGCAGCCATCGCCCAAAGCGAGCCATCCGGGAAAGACACTTGGTTCTTGGACAGCTGCTGTGGACAGCACATGTGCTCCTCGGGACGCTTCATTCAACGAGAACACCAACTTCAACGCGAAGTTGTCATTACAGTCGCCAACAATCAGAACCTGCGCACACGACGACAAGGCGTAGTTCAACTTCAGTCAAGGGAAACAAACGTTATACTGCAGATGTCAAAGGTACTAATCGCGGAGGGACTCGGCTACAACCTACTAAGCGTTAGCCAGCTGATGGCAAAAGGCATTCACCTTGAAGCGGACAGCACCACCCAAGAATTCAAGCCGTATCACGGAAGAGGAGGACTTTACATCGGGAAGGCAGTTTTGAAGAACAACGTCTTCGTTCTTGACTTCGTTCCGGACCTTGGCACCGCCGACAGCGACGGGATCATCACCTTCACATCTTGGACGCACCCACCAGATCTCGACCCAGACTTCAGCCCCGAAGGATTCTGGTACTCGCACACCATCCCTGAAGCAGAAAGAACAAGAGCGTTAGCGACAATTCAACATTCGGCAGCAGCAGAGACAACATCGGCAGCAGCAGAGACAACATCGGGAGCAGCAGAGACAACATCGGGAGCAGCAGAGACAACATCGGCAGCAGCAGAGACAACATCAGCAGCAGCAGAGACAACATCGGCAGCAGCAGAAACGACATCAGCAGCAGCAAAGACAACATCGGTAGCAGCGGCAACATCAACACCAATCGCTGGTCCTTCAACGGCACCGATCTTCACTGACGACACACCACCGACACCCGCGCAGCAGCTAAAACTGGCACCACGAGAAGTCCATCGAAGCGCCAACTTCACCGCCAGCTTCTATTCCAACTCCGACATGTATCGGCGTTCACCCGGACATCGCGCCACTGAAGGAACCTGGCACGCAAGAATGGGACACCCAAGTAACACGGTGTTAAACAACACGATAAGAGCAGGCGTACTCGACAAAGACTCTCTACTCCTAACTGGCGGCAGAGAGCTTCAGCGAGCTCGTGGAACATGCTTCACCTGTCCCGAAGCTGACTTACCGCACCAACCGTTCGCGTCTCACCACAATCCAAGCGCACCAGCTTACGCACCACTCGAGAAGGTGTACAGCGACATCCTGTACAACCGCGAGCCCGGACAAAACGCCTACAATTACACCATCACCTTCATCGACGCCGCCACACGATATGTCTGGCACCTAAACCTCCCGAGCAAAGACATGGCCTTCGAAGCCTTCGTTGCGTGGCTCCCAGTAGCGGAACGCGAATCGGGCGTCAAACTAAAAAGCTTCCAGTCAGACGGGGGAGGAGAATACACCTCAACGAGGTTCAAGGACTACTTGGCAGAAAGAGGAATCAAGCGACTCATCTCCCTTCCCTACGCTCACCAACAGCAGGGTGTAGCAGAAAGGATGAACAGGACCCTCCAGAACACCATGCGAAAGCTGCTACGTGGCATGCACCTGCCCAACCACCAGTGGCCCGAAGCAATGGACCACGCCGTCATGCTGCACAACTTACTCTCGTCATCATCGCCCCCGAACAACGCATCACCGCATCTGCTGTGGACAGGAAAACTGGGCAGCACAAAAATGTTAAGGGTCTTCGGCTGCATGGTACAGTACCGGCCCCCATCTGCACGAGCCGGTCGATTCTCTCAACGCGCACAGTGGGGGCTATACCTGGGCATCGAAAAGCATTACAACGCATGGAAAATTTTCGACGTCGAGACAAAAGAGACAGTGGCAGCACGTGACGTCATTTTCTACGAAAACCTCACCCTCCGGTATTACCTCGCCAACTTGCAAGAAGAAAACCCCGATCGCTCCGCTGGCTTTCTTGGCACCCGAGCCTTCGCCTCGGCAGAAGACGAAGCTGACTGGGACGAGCAGAACGTGGACAGAGCCTCGGAAGAAGCCGGACCTCTCCCTTACTGCTGGGTGGATGTTCCCATGGACGACGAAAATCCACGCGAAAGCATCAACGCCGAAGTCTTCTATCACTTCGCCGACGATGGTTACGTTACACCTGAACGGGTCAACACCAACGAAGCAGAACGCGTAGGGCCAAATTTCACACCTGACCCAGAAGCGGGAGACGAAGCAGTTTATCCCGCGGACACAACACTCCCTCGATACACACAGAGCGGACTCCAAATCCTTGGCCTCGTCACCGCAGTTCACGGAGCGGCCATTCCTAAAGAGCCTGCGACGGTTCAGCAGGCTCTGGGGGGGGAGCATAAGGAAAAATGGCGCGAAGCCATGGACAAGGAGCTGAAGGCACTGGAGGAACGCAACACGTGGAAAAAAACAGTACTCACCGGGAAGTGGGTCTTCCGTGTGAAGACAAAGGCTGATGGCACCATCGACAAGTTTAAAGCTCGCTGGGTCGTACGCGGCTTCGACCAAGAACACGGACGCGACTTCACCGAGACATTCGCCCCGGTTAGCCGACACACCTCGCTGCGAATCCTTCTCGCGATCGCCGCCATGAAGAAGAAAAAGCTACGACAAATCGACGTTGCAAATGCATTTCTCTACGCACCTGTTGACGCAGAAATATTCGTCGAGTTACCGCACGGCTCCAACGGAGATCCTAATCAAGTCTGTCAGCTGCTGAAGTCGCTCTACGGCATCAAGCAAGCTCCGCGGCTATGGCAACAATACCTGCACACTCGCCTCATTCGCATCGGCTTCAAACAACTGCCGCATGATCAGGGCATGTACCGGCTTACGAAGAACACCGACTACATCCTGTTAATCGTCTACGTAGACG